TTTTGCTTTTTTTTTCGTTTGTTTTTTGTTTTTGTTTGTTTTCGTTTCGTTTCGTTTTCGTTTTTGTTTTTTGTTTTTGTTTTTACTCGATGTTATCCCTTGTAGCATTTATTCCTGCAAACAAATAAGTTTTTTGATAGAGATGTACCGGAGATTTCGGTTCAGAGAGCAATGTCCATGGCCAAGCCCGGTATGTCAAATATATATTTTTTCAAAAACTTTTCGTTTTTTTCTTTCGATCGTTGCATGCTTGGTGGTTCAAACACACAAAAGTACCAATGCATCGTTTCTTGAATAAAATTTTCTTTGAAAATCATATCATTGATCCGAGGGATCACACTGTAAAATTTTGTTTGTGTGAAGAAAGTTATTGTTCTTGGTTGAACTATCTAGCGCGCGCCCAATCGATCATGTGACAGGCGTTCCTCGTACGAACGTGTAAGGAATGGAATGACTGTGTCCGTTTGGACCTAGACTATCAAGATCGGGGCTGTTTTTACACAAATCTTCCTTTAATCCTCGTTATCTTTTATAATTAGAATTTTCTTATTGGCGGTAGATTACATAATTTTGTAAAACATCGTAGTCCCCTACGTCTTTTCTGCGTCTTTTCTGCGTCTTCATTCAGTGCAGTGCCATCTTGTCTCCCTCCCCTGGGGCATGATGGGATTATTACACACAGGAATCCCGGTCGCGCGAAACAAAGGGTTCCCAATTCCCAAAACCAGGAGGGGAGTAAAACTTGCTATAGGAGGGAATCTATTTTATATTTCAGTCAGAATCTAAGAATTCGAAGAAATTTAGCACTTGCTTTTTTTAAGAGGGAATCTGTTGTACATTGTGATAGGGTACAAATCTGGGAAATGAACTTTCCTTACTGAAATATATATATATWTTTTTAACTGAATGAATGTTTTAGAATTTCTTTAAATATATGAAATAAAAAATGGGGGTCACCGCTCGTTTTGAAGAGATCGCTAATGCGTTTAAAAACAGGTCATAACCCCTTCAAACCGTTTTTAAGGGCTCTGGGTACGAAATTGTTTACCACAAACGGTCAACTTAAACTAGCGGTAACCGTAAAAAAAAGTCACAGCACTTGTCGACTCAGTTAGTGGAATTAATACTGTTTATCGAAAAGGTAGCGAGGTAAGTTATTTTTCCTTTCACTGCCCGCTTTATATTTGATAAGGATTGGTATAGAAATAGAAAATATTTTGGTTTATTTTTCTACGTGGAAGTCTGTGTCGTCCTTTGTTTGTGTTTGGTGGGTTATGGTCATCCAAACACGCCATCTAGAATTAATGACTCACAAGATTGAGAAATATGAATTTCGTACGATTTTTGCCTCTCTTGAATAGCAGAATCCTATCTTGCGCTCATTCGCTTTCTGCGCTTTGCTGACTAGCGACGCGACGCTTGTTTTTCAATTATTCCATCAAGGCCATTGAGATAATGCATGCGAGCGAAATGAGCGCCATAGAGAGATCAAATGCACTGAGCATCAATAAACTCGCATTTATTTAAAAAGATGTAACAATGAAAGTTAGCTACGTATAGGCCATACTTGAAGAGAATTTCGTGTACTGATGGTTAACTAATTAGCATTTAACTAAGCATTTTATACGATTTGCTCAACGTTTTTAAGGCCCTTTTCTGTATCGTCGCTTTGACCATAACATGCACCTATTCAATAAATATTGGACAAACTATGTTCAAAGACGAGTGTACCTTTAAAAGTACTGTGCAAAAACAACCAGACTTTCGGCTTAAATGGCTTAAATAGAATAGAGATTTCGATTTCATATCAATTTTAATATTGTGATAAAAAAATTTGTGGTAAAAAACTTCATCTGAATATTGTGTGATCAGTGTGACAGTCACGCCTCGCGTGATCACTTTAGACTTCTGCATAGAGCTTTGGTCATATCGCAAAATATTATATAGAGTGATTGCAATAAGCCCGCAAAATAGTTAGTAGACATAGTAGGCCGTAACATAGTAGACACTAGTAGACCTTATTTTGTGTTTATTTATTACAAACTAACATTCTCGTTTACATAAATATTCCTTCATTCAAAAATTAAAATTCAAAAACATTTCACTTTCAGTCAATATTGACTATGATCCGCGATCAAAGTGTGCCAAAACGTTATGTTAATATACATATATAATCAGTAATCTAGGTTATATAAATCTCATGTACTCAAACATACTGATAAATCTCAATGACAACCACCTTTTCTTTCATGAATATATATACCGCATTTCAGACAGTTGAAAGCTTCAGTGTTAGTTCTAGGTTGATCCAGTCTGGCTTCTAGTTCACTGGTTTCTGATGACCCATAAAAGATTTGGCCAATTGGCATCAAACTTTAGAGGCACATGGTATCAACACAATAGACCCCTTGGATTGATCCTAGAAGAATTGATCTACGGGACAAAACAAAAACCGTCTTTTTTATGCAAAATAAATGTCCCCCAGAACACTTCCTCTCGGGATTCAGAGCAATGGGTCTATATTAGTTTTCGTGTGCAGTGAAAGACGAACTATTGTATTAATGCAAATTAAAGTTCCTCTCAAGGTCGAACATAAGAAAACAGCCAATGCATGATTCAACCATCATCATCATCATCATCATCACCACCACCATCATCATCATCATCATCATCAACATCATCATCATCAGTAATAATAATAATAATTCTGAAAAGAAATTCTAGAATAAGAAAAAGGCTATAAACGAACAAGCAGAATGGATAAAAAGAATATAGAGTCAAAACCAAAAGATCAAACAGCAGTCATGGAGCAACTTTACGTAAGTTGAGATCGTATCTGCCTTGGCGAAAGTAGGGAACTGGAAATMTCCTGGTCTGGACCAAACCTCACAATTTCTGGCTTGAAAACATATCAGCCTTGGAGATCTTGCTAAGAGTCTAAATGACATCGTCAACAACCCAGAGGCATGTCCAGAATGGATGACGCAAGGGGTCACGCATCTCCTCCCAAAGACCGAGGAAACAAAGGAAGCCAAGAACTACGGGCCGATAACTTGTCTGTCTACCATGTGTAAGCTTATATCACACATCATAGCAGACCGAATTTATCATCTGGAGTCCAACCAACTCTTACCAAAAGATCAGCTCTTAATAAATAAGATGATACTTGAAGATAACAAACAAAAAAGGAAAATCCTCAGTACAGCCTTGATTAATTACAGATAAGCGTCCGATAGTCTCCCTCATCCATGGAAAGACCTTGCAGATCTGTAATTATCACCACTACTATGAGGGCCACTGGGTTATCAGTATGCCGATGATAATCAAAAAAAGGTTTTACCGGCGTGTGTTACCCTCTTTAAATAAAGAGATAACTAGCTAAAAACTAGTGTGAGCTGCGTCGGTGTTTCTAATGAAACAGTAATGATAAAAAGGTAAATTATACAACATGAAAAGATGAAATAAAGTTCATTAATCAAGATTTTTGAAACACAGCCCGACCTGAGAGCTGGATCCTAAACCACACAACAGGAAAAATTCCACGTTCAAAACGTGGAATCTATCAAGAAGTCTCACTATCACCTCTGATAACACTTAGCAACATGCTAAAAAAAGGATGTGGATGCAGCGTTGCAAAAAACAAGAATTGACCATGTCTTTTACGTAGATGATCTCAAGGCTAATGCAAAAGAAGACAACGTACCATCTTGAAACACTTCTCCACACTGTACATCACTTAAGTAACAACATTAACATGACATTTGGTCTCGACAAATGTACCAGTGAAGCTTCTTTCAAGTAAGGTAAACTAACAAAGAAATCTAACATTCAACTCGATATTGACACAGTCATTAAAGAACTGGACCAAGAGAAAACTTACAAGTACCTAGGCATCGATGAAAGTGATGGAATACAGCATTCTAAGAAGAAAGAAAAGGTGAGAAAGGGGCACTATCGAAGACTCAGAATGGTACTACATAGTGAGTTAAATGAAGCCAATAAGATTCAAGCTATTAACACCTTACCTGTGCCTGTAGTATCGTACAGTTTCAACATCATTAACTGGAAGTTAAGTGTAATCAAAAGACTAGATACAAAGAAAAGGAAATTTCTAACGATAAACCGCATGCATCACCCTAAAGCGGATGTCGACAGATTATACATAAAGAAGAAAGAAGGAGGCAGAGCAAAATATCAACTATCGGTCTGTACATGTACCTGAAAGAAAACCAAGATTGCGTTCCGCATCTAGTCTTTGAGCAAGAAAACGGCAAAAACATGTGCTCAATACACCGAAAGAAAGCAAAAAAATTCGAGGCTTAAAGTGTTGAAGCAAATGTTCCAGAATCGCTTCCAAAAGAGAAAGAAGTCTCCATCATCCAAAAAGCAAAGAGGATAAAGACCACGTACGAAGACCATCTGCAAATGGAACAATGTGAAAAGTGGGAATCTAAACCCCTCCATGGCCAGTACATAAGACAAGTCAACAAAGCAGATGTCGACAAACAGAGAACGCACAGTTTGTTAAAAGGAACAGGTTCAAGGTCAGAGACAGAGGGACTCATCATTGCAGCACAAGATATAAGACCCTGTTCATAAGATACTATGAGAATAAGATCGTAGGAAAAGATGTTGATATCACAAGCAGAATTTGCGGTGAATACGACGAAGCGATCGACCAAATTATATCAGGCTGTCCTGTCAGTGCGGAGAAAGGATTTATAGAAAAACGGTATGAACATGAACCTAAAGTAATGGACAAGGATGAAGCAATAATCTTATGGGACATGCAAGTACATACGGACAAATTAAAATCATCAACGCTAACAAACCAGACAACCGTAGTCAACAAAAGAGTAGAGAAACGATGTTTTCTTTATTTTCCACCATAGTATATATTTACTCCTTCTCATCTTTTCTTTCCACTTACGTCAGTTTCACAAAGCTTTTTACGGTGATGCAATTTATCCACAAGTTCCTGCTCCTCACGTTTTCTAATAGATGTGTCAATCCCAGTAGAACGAAATGTGACCTTAAAACAATTAGAAAAACTTTTAAAGTACAAAGATCTAGAAATAGAAATTTTTTAAAAAATTTAGGGTATGGAAACAAAATTCATACTTATCGTCATCTTGACACTGGATTTGATACACAAAGTACTAGAGCAGYATGTCAACCAATTATAAGGGGGCATTAATATCTCAGAAATACAGAAAAATAACACAAAATTATGCAAAAGTACGAGATTTTACATTTTATCAAGTTTTAGTGTACAAAAGCTGCATCATTCGCGAAAAGGTATCTAACTGTGATATCGTGTGGTAAAGATTTTTAAACCATTAACACTTGTATCATTGACAGAAGATGACAACAACCGAAAGAGTGATAAAAAAAGTCGGGAGCTTTGGGTGGTATCAGTTGCGTGTCTTTGCCATTATCAGCTATGCAGTTTTCTTCACTTCGTTTGTGTTGATGGTGATGACATTCAGTACAGCTGAACCTCCGTGGAAGTGTAAAGCAAACTCTACTTCATGCACCTTAAATGGAACCTTTAAAGCTGGTGATAAAGACTATGAACATCGTTGCCAAATTCCACGTAAAGACTGGGAATTCGCTGTGGAGGGAAATTTTGATTCCATTGTTACAGAGGTAATTAAAGAGGATCCCTTATGCATACTTAAAATGCCTGTTATTTCGTTGCTGTTGTTCCATTAAATGATAGAATTACTGTCATGCATTTTTTTTTTCTTTTGCAATATTGTGGCCTGTGGAATGTTATTGTTAAATCWCAGATTTGTTCTTCGCTTTTGATGTTGTTTAGGGTATACACTTTTTTGGTTGTCTTGCAATTATGGCGCCATTTTGATAATATTGTTCAGTTGTTGCATGTTATTCAATGTATCATGCTTTCTTTTGTATGCCGTGTTGTTGTGTCACGTTTTGCAGTTGTGTCACGCTTTCCAGTCGTTGTGTAAACGGTCACATCGTTGTTGTTTTGTGATCGTTTTTGTTACAAGTTATTAAAAGCTTAGTTTTCTAATTGTGTCATGTTGTTTTGCAAGCATAGTAGCGTGTTAATCTTATTTTGACCGTATATTGCTGTCGTTGTTGTGAATTGTACATTTTTTCCCTTATGTGAGAATATTGTCGCCGGTTGCCCAGTTACCCCCCAGAAAAGGTACAAGGAATATAAAACTGTCAAATGCTTATTTTTGGGGTGCATGTTACGTCACAGCGGCCATCTTGGTTGACAATAACAAAGCATTCCTGATTAGCTTCACTGATAGATCAACCATCATGGCAGTTGTTTCATTGTTATTCATATCTCAAGGGATTTTAAACCATGAGGTTGCACTCAAAAAATTCAATGTTACCACAAATCACCTCTTGGATTTCTTTCAACTTAGTGGGACTTGGTCTGTGATACTGCAGTGTACGCAAGCCTGACAAATTCCCTTACTTTTCTGCTTGGAATATTTGGAGGAGTGTTGGCCAGTATTCTCAGTGACAAATTTGGCAGGAAGACCGTGGTATTTCCCTTCACGATGCTCACCTGCACGTGTGGATTCTTGTCTGCCTTTGCTCAGACGTATTGGGTGTTCGTTTTTTTCCGAGCTCTTGCAGGCATTGGATTAGGTTAGTGAAAGAGGTGTTTGGACGTTTTTTAAACCTTGATACTCTTAGGGGAATTTATGGAAGGCAACCTAGTGTTCCAACACCTCTCTTTATCTAGTACTTGGCCGTAATGACTTCTCCTTTCAGACCTCTTCATTTTTTGTTTGTGCTGCATCCATTTGTTTATCTTTTCGTGCACAACCGTCAAACGAAGAAATGATATATAATCTAGGTGATGACACGTGGTCTGAAATATGGGAAACCATTACACCCACGGTTAAGAGATCTATTCAAAATACTACGTGTCCCAACATTACCTCATTTTCACAATAAAGTTTCCTATCGTCTTTTTTAGAACTAGATAAACTTGACTAGATACACCGTGCAGACGAGGTCCAATACAGGCCGAAACAGCTGTCCACGGTTTCTAGTAGAGCTGGCTTTTTTTTTTTTACGCGACTTGAAGTTGTGAAAGGCTTGTATGGCACTCTTCTTCAGTCGTTTCATCTAAGGCTCGTAATTTACCTATTACGCATGTTCTTATTTGATATCCGAGCCCATCCCACATGGTTTATTGCCTCATCTATCTAGTACTACATTTTTAAAATCTGAATCAGCATCTTTGTTTCTCATTGCATTCAATTGAAAATTGTCCTAGGAGGAGCATCAAACTCTGGCTATATACTAGTCATGGAGTACATCGGTGTTCGTTACCGTGGCGCTGTTGGCATAGGGTACTGGTCGTCATGGATACTGTCCTTAGGCCTCTTATCGTTGCTAGGATACCTAATTCAAGACTGGCGTATTCTGAGTATTAGTACAAGTGCACCAGGAATGATTTTCTTTCTTTTCTGGTGGTAATTAAGTAAAGAAACCCCTGTATTATAGGCTTTGTTTATCAAAATGAAGGCATGGCTAACTCACAGATCGAACCCTGAAACAACCTCTGGGCTGATCTAAGTCAGGGCATGGCTAACTCACAGATTGAACCCTGAAACAACCTNGAACCCTGAAACAACCTCTGGGTTGATCAAAGTTGTGGCATGACTAACTCACATATTGAACCCTGAAACAACCTCTGGACTGATCAAAGCCAGGGCATGGCTTACTCACACATCGAACCCTGAAACAACCTCTGGGCCGATCTAAGTCAGGGCACGGCTAACTCGCAGATCGAGCCCTGAAACAACCTCTGGACTGATCAAAGCCAGGGCATGGCTTACTCACACATCGAACCCTGAAACAACCTCTGGGCTGATCTAAGTCAGGGCACGGCTAACTCACAGATCGAGCCCTGAAACAACCTCTGTGGTGAGAAGTCAAGGCTAACTTAGAGATAAAATTGGAATTTTGCGGAGGGGGGAAAAACCCTGGAATTGAGAGAGAAAATGAGAAAAATGATGCAGCGTTTTCTAACTTGAATGATCAATCTTGTCCAAAAAGAATAGTCCCCTTCACAGATCCTTGCGCCATCTTGAAAGGTAGCCGTGCCTTTGCATTGAAGCGAGACGAACGGTGAGCTTGCAATGATAGAGACATGTGAATAATTGTCCAAGCTGTTAAAAAGGTCTCTATCATTGCAAGCTCACCGTTCGTCTCACTTCGATGCAAAGGCACGGCTACCTTTCAAGATGGCACAGGGAACTGTGAAAAGGACTATTGAAGCTCACTAACCTTACAGCGAATTCGAACCCCCTCGCGTCATTTTCCTGAATTTACCATGCTCTGAAGATTGATAAAGCGATTGAAAACCTCCCGCCTAGAGCTCAAAAATGTTTTCTGTTTATCTTAATAATTATCCAAGCAGTAAAAGCCTTCCGAAACTAACAGCCTTACATAAGGAAGTAAAATGTGTCTATATCTTTAAGGTTYACCCCAGAATCTTTACGTTGGCTCTTGGTAAGAGGCAAAACTGATGAGGCCAAGAAGACATTGAAAACTGCTGCACGAGTCAACAAAAAGGTCATCTTGGATGATGACATGAACCTGCTTGGAACGGATGAGGAGAAAGAGAGACTTGGAGATATTAGAGATCTCTTTGTATCTCGTTCAATGGCCCACAGGACTCTACTTTCCTGGTTCTGTTGGTACGTACATTCATGATACTTTGTTACTCGCTGAGTTTTATAAGTATAAAGAACCAGCTATGTTGACCGAGTTCACCGAAAGGAATTATGGGTCAAAAAATATTTGTTATTGCATTTTCCTAGTAGTATGAAGTACAATGAAGATTTCTCTTGTCGATTAATCAAAATGGTATTCCGCCATGAGTTTGACAACTCAATTTTCAATTCAATTCAATTCAAATTTTCTTTTACTTCCACTGACTAATAAAGAATTGTAAATACAAATTAAAGTAAATAAGTGTAATTTTTAAACAGTTTGAGTAAAAAGAAAAAAGAGTATATAGATAATTGTGGACGACTCCCAAAACAGGATGAGCTTTCGAGTTGGGAGTCCTAACAGAATTAACGATCAATTCAAAGAATGAATAATTCATATTTTATGGGTTCTCTTGGCAGGACCTCGAGGAATGCTAATCAAAATATAATGTCGAATTCTTGGGGTGCACGTTATAGCCGCCTTGTAGGTTGGCTAAACAGAGCATTCTTAATTAGCTTCTCTTGTTATATCAACCAACATGTTTTGTCGTTATTTATATTTCAAGGTATATTTCGGTCACGTTGTTGCACTCCAAAAATACGCAATTGATGGGTTGCAAGCATTCCCAAGAAAGTTAAAAGACAAAAATATGGCGGCCATTGTGGTACCGTTAACAATGGATGCTAATGAGAAATCTTTTGTTAAATGGTACCAACATGGCCGCGATGACGTAACGTGCAAACGAAGAATATCGGTTATGGGTTCGTGATTACCGTCACCAAATATTTGTTCGTTCTCATTAACTCAGCTTGATTAGTGCTTCCCTGTTAGCCGAGTCTCCCGTAGCAACAAAAAAAATAGGGAGACTTTGCTAACAGGGGAAAATGAGCGCTTTTGAAAGAATGGTTTCAATTACTAGGTTTGTCAACGGGTTAGTGTACTATGGCATCTCATTAAGTACACCAACCGTTGGAGGCAACATGTACTTGAACTTCTTTTTGTCAACTGTATGTGAAGCCATCGCCATGGCGATAGCTGTGCCCATATTAAACCGGTAGGTGTATTACAGTAGGTTTTAGGCATTAGTAAGGTATTCGTGATAAAAAAGAGACTAAGCAGGGTTTCCCGCGTTTAAATTGTTTATAAAAGCATGACGATCTTGAAACGACTGCAGCTGTTGCAGTCTTCTTCAGCTACAGCCGAAACGTCAAGTTGTAAAGGTATTCCTTCATGTAAGGTGAAATTAACAAATTTCACAGTTGGTCAAAATGTTATGCATTCACGAGGGGTACAAAAAGTTTGAGAGAAAAATGGTTTCTTACTCACATTGGCTCCGTCCACGAGCGATTCGTAATTTGACGTAATACGTCGGCATGTCGTCTTATTTACCACGGCACTCCACCAATCAGAAAGCGAGAAAATGTACAGTACATTTGTGGTAAAATGCATGGTATATGTCAAATCCATACTATAGCTTATATAATACACGTTTTTCATTCACTTAGGTTTGGGCGTAAAAAGACCATCATTGTTTGTCTGTGGCTGTCTGGTGTCGTCATGATTACGGCAGCGCTTCTTTCTTATTATGATGATGGAAGTCAAGGTAAATGATTTGCTCCTTTGAAAATTAAATTTGGTTTGGGTTATCTCGTAATACTATAAAAAGGGCGCACCATCTTTTCAAATATCATATGTTCATTCGTCTCGCAGGTTTTCTTGCTGGTAAGATCGTGTCAGCCATGGTTTTGGGCAAGTTCTTTATTACCATTTCATACGATGGCGTCTACCTGTATTCTTCAGAACTTTTCCCCACAGTTGTCAGGTAAATTCACATTTTTATCACAGATGACACTGTGTTGACGGAGCCAGACGCAGACGCATGTTTCGGCCTGTATTTTACTACTTTTTCTCGGGACTCTACCAGCTCACTAGATACACCGTACTGACGAGGCCCAATACCGGCCGAAACAGCTTTCCTCGGTTTCTAGTTGAAGTGGCTCATTTTTTAGGCTTCACGAATTTGCAACGTCCCCTGTGATTGGTTAGGTTTAGGGGCGGGGTTGGGGAAAGGTCATTGTTTTCTATTGTTCTACACGTGTGCCCTCCAATAGGATCACATCTTGCAAATTCGTGAAGGACGACCCCATTTTTTACGCGACTTGAAGTTGTGAAAGGCCCATTGGCCCTCTTCTTCAGTCATACAAGGCTCGTAATTTACCTATTACACATGTTCTTATATGATATCCAAGCCCATCCCACACGGCTTACCGCCTCATCTCTCTGAATAAATATCGATTTAAAATAGAATAAATAAAAGGTACATGTATAAAGAATCATTTTGACGGCCGATGATCATACTATTTTACTGAGTGCTATTATTCTTGAATGACAGAAATACGGCGACAGGAACATCGAATGCTTCATCTCGTGTAGGGTCTACTCTTGCTCCTTACATCGTTTACTCGGTAAGTTGATTCAGACCAACTGCCAACTGAGCTACGGATTATCCAATACGCCTGAAGCGAGATGACGTTTTACCCCCGTCTCTAGACCATAATCCTTTTCACACTGCTTTTG